ACCTGGCTGATTCTATGATTCTATACCATAGTTAATAAGGGGCTAAAAGAACTAGAAGAAACACTAAATTTAGATTAGAGATGACATAGTTTTTGTTATTATTTCGTCTATCTTTCAAAGAATGAAGAAGTTGAGCTTTTACTTCTGGAGAATGCAATAAGATGTTTTGGCATGTTTACTTATCTTAGAGTTATTAAGAATCTTCATTGTTCCAAAATACTCATTAGATATCAAAGTTATATATGGGGTTAAGAAAAGTTTACATATGATCTAATTATTAACTCCAACCAAACAGAGCTTCTTTCCCCACTTCCTTCCCAAAACCATACTTTGTTGCAGAAAGGCCCATAAGAGCATCTCCAACATCTTAAAGAGGAGAAATGGGGAGAGGAAGAGTCTTCATTCCTTCAGCATTTAAGATGTTGAAGGATAAAGGGCTGGATAGAAAGAGGAACAAATAGATTTAGTATGAGCTGAAATCTCACAACTGAATCTTCACAACAACTCTTGTTGTGAAGTCTGGTTGTCTCCAGACTTCATTGGCACTATTTGCATGATGAGCAGCAGGTCTTCTTCTGTGACACTTGGGGAGTTATCTTTGGCTTTCCTTTCACAGATTTTCATGAGACATAAAGTCCATGGAAATCTTACACCTGTGCCAAAACTAAATGTCAGGATGTTCCATTTGAATCAATCCAGCTGGAAAATCACCTCAAAATGAAACTCTGAAGTCTTTATCTGAGTTTTCTTAATAAAAATTTTTTTTAAACAAGACACTGAACTTGATGAGATACAGAATATTTCTTTTGTCTAATAAAATATTGAATAATGCACAATCCTATACAAACTAATGCATGCTCAGGTAAAAAGAAATGCTTATGCAAAAATGTTTCCCACAATATGTAATGCTTCGAAAACATCATTCAAAGTTATATTTATTATCCTACAGTTTTGATAACAGAAACAATGATCTTTCTCTCCAAAGGTAATTCTTAGTTAGGTAAAATTAGACACTGCTGGAAAATATTTAAGTACAAAAATGAAAAACTATGCCCTTCTTGTTCTGTATTTGGAAAGCTGAAGACTTCAGCATCAAAAACAACACTTCTGAAGGCTGAACAGGTAGTTATGATACAGCACATGGCAAATGATCTAGGGGACCATTCTTACTATTTTTCAGTTCAGCACCTCTCCGTGGTTGTAGAGCTGGGAAAAAAAGAAGAGGGAAGGGAAGGACTTCTGTTTCTTGACATATGTTTTCAAACCTGTTGAGACTTACTCAAGCTGAGGTCTTAAAATGATAGGCAACACTGTGAGCAAGATAGTGCCTATCTCGGAAGCACTCCATAAATGGTAGGTTACCTTCACAATGCAAAGTACAACAATTTTGTAACTCAGAACAGTGACACCAAAGTCTCCAAACTGTAGAAAAAAAAGGTTGCTGTGCCAATTTTTCAGCATACAGATTAATAAAGAAACAAGCCCTTGGTGTTCCAAAGTTTTACAGTCTCACTGAGCACATTTTAGTTCCATTTGTGATCATCAAAGCATCCCATAAATTGAAGAGCGTGTTCAGCTCATGTTTGACAGGCTGAATTCTAAATGCAAGACCATGTTTACACATCCTAATAAAGCACACAACCCAACTGTGCAAACAATACTTAAATCCTTCAAGGTTTTTGTTTCTGTATAAAATGCCTGTAAAAGGACAGCAAAATAGGAAGCTTTCATGGAAATGGATTCTGAATAGAAGAGGATACATGAAATCATAACGAGTTGTTACGTGAAGTATTAGCTCTTCTGTAAGCTTCAAAGTTAATTTGTAAACTTATTCTCAGAACAACTGTAGTGATGTCCTGAATGTATCTCTGCCTTCGAGGAAATAATCTTAACTTGAATAGTAGCAGCAAATCCTAAGAAAAAACTAATGATATTTTGCCAGAGGACAAAGGGTTCAGAATCTGCTTTTCCACTGTTAGAGGCATCGCAGCTTTTCTTCAGTGCAGCAAACACAGTCAAAACGCATAAAGAGGTGCCACATTTAAAGCACTGTCATTCCATAATTTTCTGATTTTTTTAAACCCAAAAGTTTTTTTGCTTGTAAAGAAAGCACTTCTGTAAAGGAAGTCAGTGCTCTTTCCGTTTAACAGCTCTGTGTGTATGTCAGAAACCTTTGCCAATTGTTCAATGTAATTAAATAATTAAAAAATATAAATATTCTGATTATTGACTGGCTGTTTTGTTTTGAACCTGTCAAAAGAAGACAGACAGCCAACAGGACAAACAGACGAGAACACAGAGCAGCTTCAACAAGGCCACTGCCGCCTGTATGAAATAGTGCAGGGATCAGTGCAGGGAGCATGCACTGTAATACAATTAATTTTCTATTAAAAGACATGTAGAGAACAAGCAGCAGCTGCACACAGGTCCTGTTTCATTCATCTCCTAGAATCTAAGTTTTAAAAGCATGTCTGCAGAAAAGTAGAACGCATAATGGAAAAATGCTGGATTTCCCAGTACACCAGATATGTCACATTTTTTCAAGGAGGTGAGGTAATGGTGATGCTGCTCCTGAATAGGAAAGTTTATTCTTCCTACAGCTGCATTGCTGTAGGCTCTCTGCAGATTCCGGTAGGCTATTCCTCCTGAAATCCCTGTTTTTGTAGCTCTCCCTACACAAAAGGACAATAAACTTCTGTGTGTTCCCTGTGTTGCTTCCCACACATCAAGAACCCCTGATCCATGGGCCTGATTAGCTGAAGTGGTGTGTCTGGTTTCGATGAGGCACAAGCTGTGGAATCCTCAGAAACCAGGCTGAAAGATCACTGAAGCCAGACTTGTTTCTGGAAGGAGTCTGTTTTGAATTATGCTTCCTATTAGCAGTAGATTTAAAAATTAGGGAACTATAAGTAAATCTGGAACTTAACAAGGCTTAAAATAGGCCTGGGTCACAAATCTTGATGACTGTGTGATGGGCTGGTCTTCAGTGCAACAACAAGGAGGTCTTTAACAAAAAACATAAGTAGAAAAAGTCAGAGTGACTAGAATATGGGGAGGCAGGAAATAATAAAGGTAAGTTATTTCTTCCCATGAAGAATGTTCTGAAACTCAGGATAAGCTTCCACAAATGGTAAACATATGGAATAAATTATCAGGGAAGTGATCTCAAAACAAAGACTACAACAGAGTTCAAATGACACACTTCTGGAACAGAAATAGATGGAGCCATAAAGTCAACACAAAAAAGTAGGATTACGATTAACCTGGAAAAGGGCAAGCAAATTAGACTACAAGCCATTCTCTCACTTCTTATGGCAGCTTCCCAAGACTGCCCATCTGAAATGTGTAATTTAACATAAGCCCAAAGAGCCCTCCTTGCCAACCACAGAAAAATTAATCAAACATTTCTCGTACCAGATGAGTAGTAGGTATTTATACAAATAAAGAGGCAAGATCTATTTATACACATATGCACCCAGATGCCTGAGTATGTTTATTACAGTTGAATTGAAATTAGATAAGTAACATAAAAGTCATTAAGCTACATTATAAAGGTCAGTTAGTTCACTGCTTGAGTTTCAGCCAGGCTGGCCATAAAGTCAGGTAATAAAGCTGCAATGCTTTGAAAACGCCGACGAATTTTAAATGAGTTGTTCTATGCGATTAAAAGAGATGTGAGAGGTCGGGAGAACAATATAATCTAACACCACGTCTACATCGCAGACTCCAGCGAGCACAGCTACCTCAAGCTGAAGTACGAAGCTGTTTAATATATCTGACTGGTACAGCTGCACTGCCAGCTGTGCCACAAGTGTTAATATATTTACACTGGTGTAAAGCTGAAATTTTATAAATGTAACTTCTTCTACTTGCTGTTTTTCCTAGGCTGGTATGATACACAGATGTGCTAACACAACCGCAGCTCTAACACAAACACTTCCTGTAGCAGTAACACAGATACAGCCAGAACTGCCCAGGTCAGAAAAGCACATGCTAGGAGCTTACTTTGACTGTTTCTACAATAAATACATTACACCACTGATGTGCTCCAAATGCAAATGAGCAGGGATTTCCGGGAAAAACGTACCAAAGCTGCTGCGTAAGCAAAACTTGAACTCTGCCATTCCAGCAGCCCAGCTGTGCTGCTGAGGAACAGCACCTCTTCCTGCCTCTGCGCACACACCTATGCTACCAGCGCCCATACCAACGGGCCTGTTCCCACTGGTGCACTTCCCATTTCTTATTTCACTGCGTGCCTCTTGTGCACGTGACTTCCTCACGTTCCATGCCTTGGTTTTGCCACCTGCGACCACTGGGACACCCGCAGGGCTGGGACGGGGGTCGGGCTGCAGTCTGCTATCCCAAACCTGACACTGGTAGTGCCAGAGGGCCGACTGTGATAAGGCCAGAACCGCGCTCCGAACGAAACCTAGAAACACAACTGGAAGAAATTAAGTCCCCCCACTACCATCCTCCGCACCCACCACTCCCGAAACCTCGCCCCGCGAGAGAGTGCGGGAAAGCCAGCCCTAGGCTTGGTGGGCGGGACAACCAATGGACCAATCAGAAAGGGTTTCTCGGCTCTCTTATCCAATAGCCAACTTCTCCTGGGCGGAGATGAGAAGCGGGAGTAAACGCGGAGCGCCATGTTTGATTCTGGTGCGTGGTGCCCTCACGCAGAATGGCCGCCGGCAGCGATCACGTGGCAGTCAGTGCCCTCGAGGCAGGGGTATAAACATGGGGGAGAGGTGAGGCGCATGCGCGACACTTGGGCGGGTGGGGCGAGCGAGTAGGGACCGGGGAGCGGCGCGAAGCCCCGCCCCCGACACGAAACCACGCCTCCCGAGAAACAAACCACGCCCCCACGGCAACAACCCCCGCCCACACGACCCCAAACCCCGCCTCCGTGTCGCGAAGCCCCGCCCCGTGTCGCGCGGCCGTGCCAGAGTACGGGGGGGCGTCTCCTGCGCGTCGTCCCGGTGGCGGGGCCGGTCCGGTCCGAGCCGCGCAGCCCCGCCCGCGCCCCGTCCCCGCTGCCCGCACCATGTCCTGCGCTCCCGCCGTGCCCGTCGTCCCCGAGGACGTCTCCAGCCTCCTGGCAGGTGAGGGCAGGAGGGAGGGCTTTCTTCCCGGGGGGCGGGCGGAGGGGATGCCGAGGTGGGCGGGCTGGCGGGGGTGTGCCGAGCCGGGGGAGCTGCGGCGTGCGGGAGGAGCAGCCACCGGAGCCGCGGCCCCGGCGGGGCGCTTCTTGGCGAGCGCGGGGCGATCGCTTCCCCTGCACGGGCTTGGGGCTTCCGTCTTTCCCCGGTTCCCCCTCCCTGGTCACTTCCCCTCCCCATGCCCGTCCCTGGGACCGGCAGCGCCTCGGTTCCCTTTCCCGCAGGGGGGAAGGAGCGGTCCGGCCCCCGCAACGCCCGGGGGGTTGCGTTGTCGGGGGGATCCACCGGCGGTGCGGGGCTGCTGCGGACACGCGTGTGCGGGGTGCGGCCGCCCGGGCACCGCCGAGCCGCCGGGGGGAAGTGACTCCTCCCGGGGTATCCGGGCAGGGCCGACTGTCCGAACCAGCTGATAAAAAGTAATGAACTTCCCCGCTAAGCAGCTGAGCAGCTCACGGAGGGGATGCTGGATTGCTGATGTGTTGTCTTATCAGTCACACACTTCTGACCGTGACTGCCCACGTTCTTGGGAACCGTTGGAGCGTGGGAATGGGATGATTTCTCACCATGCAAGGTTGTCAGCAGTAGTGTCAATAGAGAATTCAGAATACGGGTCGTTGCCTTTTACCTTCAATACTTTAATTTTTTAAAATTTGTTTTGTTGTTCATTAAAATAAATTGTATACTTAAAGTTTGGCTTTACTGTTATCTTTCGAAAAGTTTGCTATCCTGAAAGCATTTTAGTTTCAGTGTGACTCTCTTTTGAGAACTTCTGTTTCTACCACAGGAACTCATGTAGCTCTGACTTAGCCATTCAAATTGCCCATGCTTTTCGAAATCTTCCTTCTGAGGTCAAGCATTCAATTACATGGCTGGGGACCTGCTGGAATCTAGTGCAGCTCGTCACCTTCGAAGACTATTCTTTTTTTAACACTTTTGATTGTAAGAGCTAATGCTTGAAACGTATTGTTCTCACCACATCTCATCATCTGCCAACTGTCTTAAGTGTTTCCTAACTGCAGTTTCTAAGTATGTTATTTGCAGATCATAACATCTGTAGTAAAATTTACATGGAAGGCCACCAGAAAAAAAAAAAAAAGGAAAGCTTATCATCCATTTTATCATGGAATAGATGCTTAATCATTTAGAAAAAACAAAAATTATCCTTAGCCTTTCCAAACTTTGGTGTTTTGTGAAGCATTACTGTATTCTGGAGCTTGTGATCAGATGAAGTGTGTGTATGTTTGTTTTGGTGCTGGTTTCACTGGGTGAAGCTTGTCTTGAAACTCTTGAAAGTTTTAAGTGCTTTAAGAATTTTTTTTTGAGGGGGAGGATGTGATACAGAGGGAATCATTCCAGACTGTGATTTGTTTTTCAGTTATGGTGGCTCATTTACACAACTTGTCCTTCTCTCTATCTTTATCCAGTCCGCCATGGAAAGAGAGACACAACAGTTTTTATTTTGAAGTGAAACTGAAAACACCTATTTTTCCTCAAAAGGGTTGTATATATGTGCTTTCAGAGTCTGTGATCAGCAGCCTAAGTTATACGCAGATATCTAGTGTTTGTACAGTGTGTACCACTTCAGTTTTTCTGGAAGAAAACGAGATGGTTTCTTTAGTGCTGTCTATAGAACTGAAATTAAGAAGACAATGGAATGATTTACCAATGATCTTTAAATATTTGTTTGTAGATTTTAATTCTCACTTTCAGAATTACCAAAGGGAAACAAATATAAGGATAATTATGGTTATACTATGTTAAAATTTAATAATCTGTTTTATTTAACAAAAATATGGCATTGCTTTTTACAATTTGTGTGTGTTAGCCTCTCTTTTTTTTAAGGTTATTGGTCAAGTGCATGACAGTTAGAAACTATAGTAATCCAGGCTCTATGAACAGTTCTTTCATGGATATCTGTAGGATCTGGTAATCTTCAATTATGTAGTCTTCTGCTTCTTTTTGCTCAAATTATTTATGTAGTGAAGATGTCTGGTAATTGAAGGGGGAAGGGAGCTCTGTAATATCTTTACTATTCATTGAGAAACTCTTACACAATGCAAAGACTGCAGTGCATAGATAGTTATTAATTTCTGCATGCTTTTCTTTGAAGGTGCTTCTTAATGTATTATTTTAATAGCTCACAATTATTGATTCAGCACCTCTTTGAGATGAGAGAATATTGTTTTACCATTGATAAAATTAGTGTCATAAACAAGATATGATTGGGGGCGCAAAAAATAGTCAATGGTAGAACAGAATTAGAAGTCAAATACACCTGCCTCCGTGCTGTGCAGGTTTCTCCAGAAAATAATGTGAGTTGGATGTCTGTATTCAGTGGTCATTATGAGTGCCAGGCACTTCTTCATAGCAGGTTCTGTTGAGAACATGTTTTTTAGGCTGATATTCACTTAGCAGTGAGGCACTCAGAGGTACAATATCTTATAAATATGCTCTTCTGCTCTCATTCCTTTTCTTGGCCTTTTTGCCTACTGTTTCCAACTTCTGCAACAAGTGGAGGAGTGATCATATGGATTTCCTTATCCCTGCTCACTTTTGATTGATGGTTGGAGTACGTCCACCAACTATGCTGAACAAGAAGGGGTCCTGCTGGAAAGCATACTAAGTGCTCCCATAGTTAAACATGGTGATAATGGGAATAAACACACCAGGGGATGAATTAAAGTTGCACAGGAAACTTTCTGACTTGTAAGTGCTTTACTTTGAACCTAAACAATATTATATCTTTAACACAAAACCAAATTCTGTCACACATGCTGGCAGGGTCATTGTAGTTGCATGTCAGTGGCGCTGAAATGTTCCAGGCAGAAGCACAGCTTGAGTTCAGGGCTAACTGCATTAGTTGCAAACAGGAGGAAGCTGTTTCTGTAAAGTTGAAGGGGAAAGGTCAGTGTGGCAACAGACTTATTGCAGAGGATTATTAGGATTGCACAATCCCATCCTGTCTCCTCTGACTTGTTCAAGTGGTGGGAGGGAAACACTGGAGACAGAAATAGGGTCCTCTGGTCATGAGATGAACTTCTGGTAGGAGGAGAAAGTAATTTTGTTGCTCTGTTATCTCCTTCTTTACAAGTGGGAGATGTGTGGTAGTGTATGTAACTTTTTTATTCCCTCCCGGTGTCCCTGCACCTTCTAGATGATGCTTGAGATTTTGGAATTTGATGAAGGAAGCCCAGCCCCACTTTGTCTTTTCTTCTTTTGAAAAGGTATCCTTTGTTGTGTTTATGTGTTCAGGATCTTTTTGTGCATGTTTGGCAAAGTGGAATGTTACTTTTTTTTTGTCCCCTTAAATCATTATTGGTTACGTAGATTGTTAGAGGCCTGCTCACTTCTATTTTTCCTTCCTCTTTTATGCACACTCTAAGTTTTGGCTTGGCCATAGCTGAGAAGGAGTTCAGAGGCTGCTTCTTCTCCAAGGGCATATTATTTCTTCTGTCATGTAAATCAGACTGGTGGCTTCAGTCACCTTGATTGAAAAAAAATTCTTGAGTTTTTTCAGTAATAAAGATTTAGTTGGAGGTAAGACTTCTTTATTTTTTTGAAGTTTTTGATGATGTCATGATCATTAGATATATGTATCATTTATATTTTTTCCCCTGTTCTTGGAACTCATGACTATAGTGTGGGTAATATTGCTTTTTTTTTTTTTAATTCAGTTTTCCTCTTGGCAGTATTTCTTGTTTGAATCTTCTGTATTCATATGTTAAAAGTTACAAATATTTTTTGCTATAAAAATAGAATAAATTTTTCTCTTGTTCTTATGGAACCTTATATCCCATCCTAATATCTATTTTCCTTGTTCTATTAAACAAAACCCCAAAACTAAACAGAAACCAATGTCCTTGCCCTACAGATCATCTCTACCCAGATATTATTCAGTTTGTTTAAATGCTGAGTTGTATTGTCCAAATTTCAGTGTGAGTCCTCTGATTTTTGTATTCAAAATATTATTGTTTGCCTACTTGGTTTAGTTGCATCTTGGAAACAGCATGCAGAAAAGGGCAAGGCAAGAGAAATGCAAGACAGTGGATCCAGTGTGTGAGTTTACTTTAGCTTACCTTTTATTTTTGGGTGCTACAGTAGTTATATTTACCCCGATACCCAGAATATGAACAGTCGTTTTTCATCTTCCCTGTCAGCTGTTCCTGGACTTGCTCCTTACATGCTTGTCACAGAAAAAGCCACCTAGCTACAATATAACTCTTCTTCATTGGCTGGTTCAAATTTAAAAGGATATTATTGTTTAAAACTTTACACTTTTTTAAAAGTATCATTTTCATGTTTCAAAGGCTTTAACAAATGCCTGTTCTTGCTGAAGAATCCATCTGTACAAGATAAACCAGGGTGATTATCGTAGACATCTTTTAAGTAGACATGTATTTACAGCTTTGGTAATATGTATGTATTTCAATAGTAATGGATTAAGAATAGAAACAGTGAGGTGAAAAAAGTGCACAGAGGGATTCCTGGTAAGAAATAACCTCCAGTGATTTGAAACATAGTTCAATTGTCTCTGCCATAAATTTGGGAATAAGTGTCATATACGGGTGATAAAAATGGCATAGGCTATTTTTTATATACTCATTATTCACTTAGTTTGTCTTTTTCAATTAACATGGAGTCTATCTTTCTCATCTGACTGGGTTTACGTTTCTTTCATAATCATATGTCAACAAACCATAATAGATGCAGCATAATGTGGCATACAGTGTAAATCTTTAGGTTAATCCTTAACATTTTTTATTATAGTTCATTTGGAATCACTTTGTAACTTGATCATGATTTGTACTGGGGGGGTTTTTTGTGATGTGGTTAATATACGGCTTTATCTTTTCTCACCTCTTTAACGTAGAGAGAGGATGCTCAACTACTCAGCCAATGAGATTAGATTATAATTTGTCTTCTTTAATCTCTTAAAAGAGATG